AACAACGCGCCAGCCCACAGGCCCAGCCCTCGCCTCACCGCCCAGCAACGCGCTCTGCGATTGGCTGGCTGGACGCGAGCGGGCGGGCGCGGGGGGCGGGGCCAGGACGCGGTGGGCTCCGCCCGGGGCCGCGGCCTTTCGCGAGTCCCAGCAGCGGCCGCCCCGTCCGCCCCCTGCGGAAGGCGGACGGTCGGGTGCGTTGGGTCCCCGGGTCGCAGCCACACAGGCCTCGTCGCTGGAGCCCCGGGCCGGCTGTGCCAGCGGCGCCCGCTCGGCCGCTCATTCATTGCCGCTGGTCAGGCTCGGGGAGGCTTCCCGCGGGCCAGGTTCACGGGATACTCTGGGGGGCGTGCTAAACGGTGGCTCCAGGCCCACCTCCGCCAGCAAGGGCCTCTCCCCGCCCGCCTCGCCGGCTCCTCCGGCAGACGGCTCCGGCCCCTGTGCCAGCCTGTGCTGGGCTGTGTCCAGACGCCGCTGCGGGCGGCCCGGCCCACTGGCAGAGCTGGGGGCTGGGCTGGCAGCAGGGTGGGGCCGGGCATCGGGGTTTGTGGATCCTGATAAGGCCCCACAGAGCCGGCAGGCGGCTGCCTGCTGATGTGGATGAACGAGCGCGTCGCCGCCGCACAACCAGGCTTTGGTGAGACCAGCACACCTTCCAGTGACCTGGAGGCTGGACTAGACACCACATCAGCACCTGCCTCCAAAGTGCCCCTCATGTTGTCTTATCTGAGTCCCCAAAAGACCCAGGAGACGTACGAGTAGGACTTCTAGCTCCCTTTATACCCACAGAAATTTGAGGTCCCGCATTGGACAGTGGAAGAAAAGTGTGGAACCCAGGCAGCCGGTGCCAGCACAGTCCTCTTTGGCCTGTCCATGGAAGGGTCGGGGATACTGTTTATGGATAATAGACCTCTGATCTGGACGTTGGTTTTTCTCAGAAGACTATTCTGACAAGATTCCACAATTCTGCATCACTCACTCCTGTTCCCCTTGCACGCAGCGGCAAGGCAGGGCCCATAGGGGTATCAGTCAGGGCTTGCTGGAGGGAGGATGACAGTAGCAGAAGATAACTGAGCATGTGAAGTAGACACAGAAGATACAAAAAAGACCCAAGTCAAACTTCCAAAGCTGAAAAACACAATGTCAGAAATGAAGAATTACACTCATTGGGTTCAACAGCAGATTAGACCCCATAGAAGAAAATAATTAGTGAACTTAATTACATGGGAAAAGAAACCAAGTGAAACAGAAAGAAAAGAGCCTGGAAAAAATGAACAGAGCACCAATGAGCTGTAGACACCTTCAGGAGGCCTAGTATATATGAAATTGGAGTCCTTGAAAATAGAGGTGGAGGTTGGGAGGATAGAAATACTGTTTGAAAATACAATGGCTAGGTTTTTTAATTTGATAAAAACTATAAACCCACAGATCCAAGCAGCTCAGAAAGTAACTTCTGGCTTGCTACTGGACTCTGGTAGAAACGGAATGTTTCTTTGGGACATCAAAAGTGACTCTGTGGCCAGAACTGCTCATCGCTTGGTTCTGTCCGACTGCCAAGACAAAGTCAGGTAGACAAGTCATAATCTGAAAGCAGTAGATCCAGGATTGGGTTCACGTAGGGGCAGAGGTAAGTGGTCCGGACCCCTACTACTGCAGCTCCAGTACCTCTCAGCTCATACCTGTGGTCTCAGAGGATTCCCTGTGACACAGTGACAGAGGAGGAAAAAATATATTATTAGTCATAGGAAGGTTGGCTCAATGCACTGGTGTGCGCTGAAAATGGCCTGCTGCTGCTGCCCTGTAGCCCAACCCTGCGGTCACCCTGAAAGGACATCATCCCAAACCTTCAGATGGTGAAACTGACCACTCACTTTGTGTGGAGGGAGACATGGCCTGGACTCACAGGCAGTGAGAAATGATTTAGCTGGTTGTTAAGGAGCTTAGAAGGAGAAATCTGGACATTCAGGGACAAAAAGGTACGAGGCACGTGGATAGACCTATGAGAACTGGTGCAAAGGGTGAAGATCTTGTATTGCATGTCAGTGTCTGCCAGAGATCCCCCACCACAGAGGCTGTAAACAACCAAGCAGATGGAGTGGCTCAGCCAGTGGGGATCAGCCAGGATCTGTCTTCTGCATAATCGTCTCATGAATGAAGCAGCCATGATGGCAGGGTGGAGGCTACGCATGAGCCCATCAGCATGGGCTCCCTGTAACCAAGGCTGGTCCAGCCCCTGTCATGGCCAGTGTCTGACCTGTCAGCATCAGACACCAAGGCTGAGGCCTGCAGGAGCCAACCAGCCACCTGTGGCAAGTTGATGATGCTGGATTCCTTCTGTCCTAGAAAAAGCAATGACTCATGCTCTTCAAGATAGAGTGTGGGTTTACCTTTTCTGCCTGAGATACTTAAGCCAGCACCACTATCAAGCACTCACAAAGGTCTGGCGTGCTGACATGAAATCCGACAACACCACCTAGTACTAAAAGATCTGCTTTATGGCAAAGGAGATGTCTCAGTGGACACACGACCAAGGACCGACCACCCCTACTGTATACTGTACCATCCGGGAGTTGCTGATCTACTAGAGAGATGGACCAGCTGCTTGAGGACTCGGTGAGGCTCCAGCTGGTAAATGACATGAGTGGCAGACATTCTGTATCAATAAGCAGCCGTTTTGCAAGGCTCCGTCTCTAACAGGTGGACTGCCCAGTGACCCACTTGAGGAAGTTGTGCCTCCCCCTCTCCAGCACTAAGTACAGTGAGTCTAGAGGGTGCGGCTACCAACGAGAACATTTTTCCAGGGGACATAGCAAAGTTGAAGCTACAGTTGCCACCTGGTCACTTGGGACAACTTGCATCAATAGATCAGAGGCACAGAAAGGAGTACCACATTGGCAGCGGTATCTGGCCCTCATTGTTGTGAGTGTGCAGGGCTCCCAGCCACATGCTGTGACTGGCACTCAGGCACTCATGGGGCAGGGTATCCCTGGGTACTCCCAGAACCAGTAGCTGTAAACAGGCAGGCATGGCAACACAGCCTGATAAGGGCAGGCTCCCAGGGAGGTGGGCCTTCGGGAGTGAACTATCTAGAAGAGCCAAAGGGCTGGCATGAGGAAGAGAGATCTAGAATGGATGGTGGAAAAGGGAACGCTGAGTTGTCAGCGGTGGCCCTGGGGCCGACTGCAGCAGTGGGGCTGCACAGGCCATCCCTCCGTCTCTTGGCCGTTCTCCTGGGTACTGTGGCCAGTCAGAATGCTGAAGAGTTTGTGTCTGAACGGATTGAACTCAGTGTGAGAAACAAGTGGATCTGAGCAGTTCCGGGGGTGGAATTAGTGGTTGCCGTTGGTGCCCTGCCCAGACTGCCTTTCCGGGTTGGTGCTGGAAGTGGTCCCCTCTCCAGGTGCTGTGAGTGTTACCTGCTAATGGCCCTCAGAGCCCCTTTCTCCAGAGTGTTGCCCTCGCCCGGGCGATTCTCTCCCTTCCTGGACTGCCCAGACCCAATAACTGGCTGACCCAGGGGCACACACGGCTGGTCCCCTCAAAGCAAAGCCAATTCTGGGACAAGTCATACTCCAGAGCACCCCACGAAGATCAGGCAGAAGCTGGTTCTCCAGCTGAGACCACTGCCTGCCTCTGTGCTTCCTTCGTGCTACCCTGGTCTCCCCATGCGGTTTCCCCTGAGGACGTTCCCTCCGTAGGTCATTTGCACAAGAGCCCTGTTACAGGCTTTGCCTCTGAAGAACTCAGTCTAAGAAGACTGTGAATGAGAAAGACTCATGAATCTCCAACTCAGCACCGAGAAAGCAAATGACCCAACTAAGAAGCAGGCAGAGAACCTAAATAAGACACTTCTCCAAAGACACATGTAAACCAGTAAGCCCGTGAAAAGACGCTCAGCATCACTAATCGTTAAAAACTGCAAATCAAAATCACCACGAGGTACTACTTAACTCCGTCAGGACTGCTATTATGAAAAAAGAAAAGAAAGAAAGAGAAGAGGAAAGGAAAGGAAGTGTTGACAAGGATGTAAAGAAATTTGAACGCTTGGGCATTGCTGGTGGGAATGTAAAATGGTACAGCCGCTGTGGAAAATGGTGTGGTGGTTCCTCAAAAAGGTAAAGAATCACCCTATGACCCTGCAGTTCCACTTGTGGCACACACCCAGAGGGACTGGAGAGACTAACCTGTCTGTGTGTCTGTGCTCAAGGCAGAGTTGTCAACAGTAACCAGAGGTGGAAGTGTTGAGTGACGACGCAAATGCTGTCAAGTGAAGGGAAGAACAAAGCATGGTTTATGCGCACAAGGGAATACTATTCAGCCTTTAAACGAAGGAAATTCTGACACCAGCTACAACAATGGAATCATGAAGCTGTTATGCTGACTGAAATAAGCCAGTCACAAAATGACAAATCACGGTTCCACTTGTGTGAGGGACCTAGAGTAGTCAAATTCATAGAGAAAGAAAGGAGAGGTGGTTGCCAGGGGCTGGAGGAGGAATAAGGAGTTACTAATTAAGAGATGCAGAGTTTCAGTCTAAACAGGATGAAAGGGTTACCGGGTTGGATGGTGGTGATGGTTTCACAACAAGGTGAATGTACTTCATGCCGTGGAACTGTACACTTAAAATGGTTAAAATGGTGAAGTTATATCATGTGTATTTTACCATAATAAAAAATAGTTTTAATGCTATTAAAATACACCTTCCTTTTCCAAGAAGATAGAAAGGAAGGGTGGGAGGGAGGGAAGGAAGGAGGAAGAAAGAAATACTGTCTTGTGTGGGAGTTAAACAAATAATATGGGGGGAGGGTTTATCTCAATGGTAGAGTGGTTGCTTAGCATGCATGAAGTCCTGGGTTCAATTCCCACTACCACCATAAACAAACAAACCTAATTACTCCTCCCCCCCCGAAAGAAAGAACAAAAAAATAAAAAGAAGGAAAATTTTTTCAAAAAACAGTACAAAATTAGACATGTAGACAACAGTAATATCAAGTCATGAGGAGATCAATAAAGTTAAAGTCACCCAAAGTCCTAGTGTTGTCCAGGAAGGACACAAAGATACTTACTATTCTAGAATTAGTTAAGACTAAAAATGGACCGTATAACTTTCGAACTAGAAGAAGAGGGAAAGTGGGAGGCTGAGAAGCTCCCCAATCCAAAGGAAGGAAAACAGAGGAGAGAAAAGGAGAAAAAGCAGCACAGAAGAGACGGCCCAAAACACAAAGATTCAGTTACGTTAAACACAAGTCTAGCTAGAAGACGTTTCCCCCATTCTAGCAACAGACAATGAAAAATTAAATGAAAAACATACACAATAGACTAAGAGAAATGTGAAGTATCTATGAATCAAACCCAGCAAAAGCTGTGGCAGGCTGTAGTGGAAATTTTTTTTTTAAATCCTATGGGGAAGCCTTGAAGAATAGAAACCAAACAAGAGTTAGACCCATGTCATGAATCGGAAGGCTCAATGTTGTAAAGATGTCCACTTTCCCCAAGCTGTTTCATAGCTACAATGAATTCCCAGTTAAAACACCAACCAAGTTGTTATTAATGGAACTGACCAGGATAGCCAAGACACTTTCAAAGAAGAAAAATAAGGTAAGGACTTACTTTACCAGATATCAAGACATAAGCAAGCGACAGTATTAAGATAGCGTGCTATTGGTGTAGAAATGGACGGATGGAACAGAACAAAGAGCCCACAGACATACACATCTATGGAGACATGGCAAGCGGCACTGCAGATGGGTGGGGACAGGACAGATTATGAATACATGATGCAGGGGTAGGTGGGGTGACTCTTGGGGGGAAAATGAAAGTGACTCCTTATCTCGCTATATGCCGAAAACAATTACGGAGCTGGAAAAAGTACGGGTAACACATCACAATACTGAGGATATACAAACAGTTCTTAACGATGCATAAGAAAGAGACAGCAGAAAAATGGGCAGAAGATTTGAATAGACAGTCCACAGGAGACAAAATCAAAATGGTTAATAAACACATGAAAATGTGCTCAACCTCATTCGTAATTAGCTAAATGCAAATTAAAGCCATAATTATACACCTGCCGGTCAGCAAAAACAAAAAAGAGCCTGGCAATACTAAGTGTTGGCAAGGACGTGGAACCAGGGAAAATCTTTTACTGCAAAATTCTTTGAAAACAAAAGTCCTGATGCCCTAGAACTCAGGCGTCAGACCCCAGAGAAACTCCTGCACACACATCAGAAACACAGATAAGACTATTGCTAGTAGCACTGTCTGGGATGGTTCCAAACTGAACAGAAGCCAGAAGTTCATCTGCAGTAAAACAGATCTGTGAACTACCATGGTCAGACAGTGGAATGGCTTTCAGTAGTGAATTTGAGCCAGCTGCAGCTATGCACAGCAACATAAATGAATCTCAAAGACACCGTGATGGGGAGAAGCAGCCAGATGCCAAAGCTTGCATCTATCTGTATGATTCCACTCACATAAAATGCAAAAACAGGAAACCAGGAAATGGGGGCTTCATAGCAAAACAGGAACAGGAGCCCCACCAAAGCCAGGGCATGGGTTACTTGTGAGGGACGGGATGGTGCTGAGATGGGGAGGGTACATGGGGGCTGGAGGGTCTACTTCCTGACATTCATTACATGACAGTTTGTTAAACGCTGTACATTTCCGCTTTGTTCACTTTTCTGAATGTGTTTTAGTCCATGGGAAATGAAAGGAAAAAGGAGGTGCCTCAGCTCTGAGTAGCTCAGGGCATGGCCAGGGATGCAGCCAGAGTGTGATGCAAGGGTAGCTGTCAGGCAGCCTCTAAGGTTTCTGAGGAGCAAGGGAAGTCCGAAGAGGCAGATGGGGTTGGGTCTGCTCTGCATCCTGTGACACTCCCTCCCGTGAGGAAGCGCTAGAAGGCACCCAGATGCGGGGTGGCTACTCAGCCATCTCTGAGGTCCCTGCCACCACGACAGGGGTCCTCTCCGAGGCCTCCACCCAGGCAGTCTTTTCCAGGTGGGGGGACAGGACACGCCGACACAGAGGAGCCAGACGTGTGCGCAAGCTGCCCCGTGAGGGGCTCCGTGCTGCGGGGTGGCAGCCAGAGACGGGCTGTGGCCCTCCCCTCACTGCCCCACCTCTGGAGACACACGTGTTTGGTCCATGTGCCAGCTCTTCCCGATAGTCCCTGGGTGGCCTTGCTTGTCCTCTGCGCCATCCCCTCGAGTTCAGCCACTGGGTGCTGGACAAGAAGCCCCGTGGTCCCAGGCCTGCTCTCTTATCTTTGCTGGTGCTGTCAGAGCCACCCATCCGGCCTGGGGCGTCCTCGCAGCGTGACCCAGAGTTGGGGTGGGGACTGGGAGAAACTCTGGCTTGTTTTTGTGGCCTCTTCTGGTTGTAAAATCTTTTTTTTAACCATAAAAATCTCCATTAACAGAAGGTACAGAGGCTCAGTGAGCACTCTTCCTGATTAAGTGTAGGAAAAGTAAAACCATGTTCAGCGCTTGGCTTGGAGAAGCTTCCCAAAGTGTCTGGAGCCCTTTTCTGGAGCCCAGGAATAGAAGCCATCTTTGAACTCACAATTAGGCTGGGAAGGTCAGCGAATCGTCTCTGAGCCTCAGTTTCCCTACCTGTAAGATGAGTGAGCAGGATGGCCCCTAGTCTTATACCGGGGCCAGGAGGGAAGAGCAGGGTGAGGCAGGTCCACTTTGTCCCCGCCAGAGCTGTGGCCCCCTTGGCTGGGTGGAGGCCTGCCCAGAACCCTGGGAGGCCGACTAACAGGACACCCAACAATGACCGCCAGGGGCCGCAAAGGGTGACAGGGAGCTAGGCAAGGCCAAGGTCTGGGCTCAGAGCTGCAAAGGACAGATCGTGTGACGATAAACAGCAGAGCTGGGGCTTGAATCCAGGCCTCTCTGAACCTCAGCTTTCTCACCTGTAAAATAGGCCTAATAGCAGCTGCTCCTCTGGGCAAACTATGTCAAGGGCACCTTAGCGCCTGGCACACAGGAAGTGCTCCGTACGTGGTGAGCACCCTCCAGCCCTACGTGAGGAAGAAGGCACTCAAGCAGGTCTCAGGAGGGACAGGGACCCCTTCCGGCCTTTCCTTTATGTCGGGGTGCCATGCCTCGGGCCCCATCCACCACCAACACACACTCTAGCAACTGAGGTCCCAGGCCTGGGAGGCCAGGCGAGGCCAGGTCCTGGGGTGGGCATCTGGCAGACACAGTCCTCATCTGACCAGGCAGCCAGAAGGACCCATCACCTGGCTCTTGGCCCCAGAAACCCCAAACCTTCCAGAGTTCAGGGCTCCCAAGTTGCTGCATGTCAGATCCAAGTGGCGGCACCCTGCGTCCTGCAGGGATCACCACCATTCCCAGCCCCGCTGGGAACTACTTCTGATTCAAGCCCCCAGTGAAAAACTTCACAGGCAGGGAAGCTACAGCCAGTTGGGAACAGTGTGCCTCACCGGGATCCCCACGAAAGTTCAGGGCAGAGAGCTGCAACCGTAGGGAGGAGGAACTGCTCGTTGCAGAACAGAAGCCCCAGGGGCCCGCTCCCCCGTGCTGCGCTGACCCCGCCCCCTGGGGCGGCTGAAGAAGAAACACCTGCAGGTAGTGCTGGATGCTCGGTTCCTGGAGGGAGATGGCTGCTGTCTCAGCCACTGCATCTCAAGGAGCCTCCCACATCCCCTGAGTCGTCTCCTGTCTCCCTTTCCTCCAGACCAACCCCCCACCCCAGATGGTCTCCCCGGTAGGGGAGGGGACATCCAAACAAAGGGCCTTCTCCAGGGACCATTAATCACTCGCTAGTGGATGTAAGTGCTTTTGTGGCTTGGATTTTACATAACAAATTCCTCATTCCCAGCAAAAAGCACAGCGAGGATCAAAATGACCCTGAGTTCCCTGCCAGCTCTGACACCCAGCTGAGTCTGTTTTTACAAAAAAAAAAAAAAAGGTGAAGTCTGGAAGAGCAGTCTGCTGCAGTCGGGGCAGGGCCTGAGCCAGGTATTGACCAGAGGACTTGGGCATTGGGTACCACTGTCCCCACCCATTCTTTGCCTCCTCAGGGCCTGTTCTTCCTGCTGCACTGTAGCCATCACCTCCTCCGAGAAGTCCTCCTGGAGCCTCCAGCTGGGTTCCAGGCTCCCAGCCCCCGCACACTCTGCTGCCCCAGACAGCGGGCACTGCGAGAACCTCCTGCCCAGCTGTCTCCCAGGAATCGCTGGTTAATCCAGCAGACAACACAACTGCAGACGTGAGGGGCCTGCTAGCCCTACAGCCCCACTGCCTAGGACCTGACTTGTGGCAGCAGAACCTGGAGCTCTGCAGCACAGGCTCTGAGTCCAGACTGCCTGACCTGGGTCCTGTTGTGTTACCAGCTGTGCACCCCCGGGCAAGTCATTTCGCAGCCTGTGGCCTAGAAGACAAGACCACCGGCTGCAGTCCCCCCGTTTACGCTGGTGTGGAAGCTCAGTTAGGCTGGCCACTCCTTCCCAAAGAAGCTCTGGCCTCCCAGACAAAGGTCATCTGTGCTTTATTGTGTGGCAATGGCCCCTCATGGAGCCTGCGTTGTAGCGTTCTGAGGGGGGGGTCCTGGGGCCAGCCCCTGCCCCCATCCCAAATGCCCCGGCCCTGCCTAGCTTCCAGCCAGTGCAAGGTGGGCGTGCTGGGGGACCAGAATTCCTGTCCATGAAGTCCAGGCTGGGCTCAGTCCTGGGCTCCTGGGAGGTGGGCAGGGTGGATGGGGTGGGATAGGAAAGCTGCACTCCCCCGTCCAGTTCTCTGGAGGCCAGAGCCTGGCCTAGCCCCGGGGACCCAGCCTGCTGGGTGGGGCCTGGCCTGGCAGTTTCTACACAGTGGCTGCTGGGGAGGCCCCAGGTCAGAGTTCGGTGCTGGCTCCTGATCGTCCTCTCAGGCAGGCCTGTCTCCTTCTGGGGGGCCCCCATGGTCGTCTCTGCCCGGCAGCATGTGGAGGTGTCACCTGGGCCTGGCGTAGCCGTAGGGGAGCCGCAGCAGCAGGCTCTGGTGGCCGGGCAGCACGTGGGTGTGGTAGTGCTCCACCAGGCTGCCCACGCTCAGGAACAGAACGTCGCCCTCCAGGTAGAATTTAGAGTCCTAGAGGGGGAGGGTGGCAGGGTCAGGGGGGCCGGGCCAGGTGGTCAGCCGTAACACGCTGCCCAGGGGATGCAGGCAAAGTCTGCAAATAAACCCAGAGTCGAGGGCTGATCGTGCCATCTCCTTAGGGTCAGTGGAGGACACGGAAGGGCAAGGAGAGGGGGAGGCTGAGGCAGCGGAGGGG